ACGTCCAGTGGGGCCTGCTCCACTACTCACCAAATGCACAAAAGACATAGCATATGGCGGTGTATGGTTCCATGTTTCAGCAGAAGATTCATTCTACTAATATTATATACATTTGGTGACTGGTGGAGGGAGGCCCTGAGAATCACGTGGAGACACGAACAGGGTCTAGCTGAATTGGTGACCCATAACTGCCGAGCTACAGCCCTGAACTCGAATCCACAGCATATATTGGTGGTCTGCCCACGGCTCTTCCACACGTGACGAGGCCATCCTTCTCAATTAAGCTGGCCCTTAATGGCTCCACATGTATTGTAGGAGCCATTCGAGGTACCTGCAGGGGGCCTTGAATTGACGAGAAGGGGACCTTTTGTTGGCTCTCTCTTCTCTCTCTCTCTCTCTCTCTTGGGGCCTATCTTTTTTTTTTTTTTTTTTTTGGTGTGCACAGTGCGTGACTCCCTCAGTGCGCGCACCGCACACAGCGGACAGCACTGTGTACTGCGCACACCGCACGGCGCACAGTGCGCGCGCTGTCGTTCCAGCGCACAGCGCAGTGCGCCCCGCCCCGCCCCGCACTGCGCACTGGTGCGCCGCAACTATGATATAGATATAGATATATATAGATATAGATATCATATACGTATGCACATCATCAGACATACATATCATATCATCAAACAGAGTTGCCCGGTAAACTGTAGGCAGATAGGGAGAAGAGGAAAACAAATGAGGGGCTGTGACAAACTGTTTCGTTGGAGTTTCACCCACTCATCAAGAGAATATACATATATTTTATACATATAATTATATATATCGTCAAATAGAACTGCCCGGTAAACCGTAGGCAGAGAAACCGTAGGCAGAGAGAGAGAAGAGGACAACAAACGAGGGGCTGTGACAAACTGTTTCGTCGGAGTTTCACCGACTCATCAGGAGGCTGAACCCTATGTATATATCATATAATACATATATGCGATAAACTTGTTTTTTTATTTTTTATCCTTTGTTTTGCAAAGTGCGCTCTTTTAGTTCACAGTTATGTGACAGCGTACATCGTGTATGCAAGGGCACAAGCTGCGACCCAAAAAAACGATATTGATTTCACGAGGCCTTCAATGGCCACATGCAGAGTTTCAGGTCGTGTGAAGTTCTCTTCCAGACCAAGGGAGTAATGGAATAATCCCGTACACAAGCAATCCAAAAAGCATAAACAACGAAAATTGCACAGAGTGTCAAGAAATCGATTTTGACACGGAGGAGAAGCAAAATACGCATTACAGTTAAATCCAGCTCGGCAGCCAGAAAAAACAATCAAGCCAGCTCAACAGACAGAAATACCCATCGGACAAACTGCACTGGCATCCTCAGAAGACGTCAAGCCCAGCTCAATAGACAGAAAGAGTCGCATCGAAATCGGGCCAACAACCGAAACCTAAGTGAACCTTCACCACACCCCATCATCCATACTACCAACTTTTTCATTAATGCTCCGACCCCCGCTTCACAGTCAGCTGCATCTTCAACCTGCATCTACTCCACAAAGCTCCTGTTCAAAACTCAATCAAGCATAACTGCCCAACGCAAATACACTAGAATTTCTCTAGAAACAAATGCTCTAGAAACAACAGATCTTTGAACACACTTCAATAAGGTCAAGAAGCACCATGCAACAGGGGACGGAGAAACACACAAGAACAAGACCACAGCGACACCACACACATCAAGATCTACACGATACGCACCTCAAGACGGGGGTGCTCATTTGCCGTCGCATCGATCTTGGCAATCACCACACTTGGAATATTCCTGAACTTCTTGCCCAGCTTCTTGTAGATGGGTTCCAGGCTCTGGCAGTGTCCGCACCACGGTGCATAAGCCTGTTTTTTTTTTTAATTATTATCCCAAAACCCCAAAGGAATACAGCAGCGACCCAGACAGCGAGATCAGCACCAGCAATCCTGTTAGTAAACTGAAACATGCCAACAACAGGAGCACATTGTTGCAAAGTACCACAATAGGAAGCAGAGTAAACGAACGGGAGAAGGAGAGAAATGAAAAAGAGAAAAACAAATCGACAGAGACTCGAAGACATTTTTGAAGGTTCAAAAATATTTCTCAAGATCCACAAAATTGAAAATGCGGATCAGAAAAAGGTTTCCAAAGCACAAACAACAGACAATTGAGACGTTCGAGACCCATTATACACCTGCCATAGCAAAATACAGTGACTTTACCTCCAGCAGCACATCCTTGCTATCATCCAGCACAATCGACTGAAACGTCTTCCCAACGACCACCTTGACATCCTCATCGTTCTGCATTACAGACAGCCACCGATTAAAATGTGTCATTACAATGCAAAAAACGGGCAAAACATGTCAAACATTCCAAGCGCAAACCCATTCGAGACGTACCAAAACACCTTCCCTCCCACACCATACGAAAACATGGACATCAACAGCGAATGACACCACTCTCCCAAACGCATGTGACAAGACATTCTCCTCTCTCTCTCTCTCTCTCTCTCATAGACATCAACAGCGAATAACACCACTCTCCCAAACGCATGCGACAAGACATTCTCCTCTCTCTCTCTCTCTCTCTCTCCCTCCCTACATACACACAGACAGCAACAGCAAAGCAAAAATACATATTGCCTCCACGAGATCGCAACCTGAAAGAATATCCTTGCCAGCTGGCAATACAGACCAAAACATGACTTGGAGCACAGTCCACCAGCCACTCACCGTCTCTGGAATTTCCTGAGACTTGACCGATGCCTCAATCTTCCCGGCAGCGAAATCCTTACCCCAAGCCTGTGGAGGAACAAAGAGCACAATGAACGACGATCGATCACTAAACAACCTCACGCAAACTGACTGCCATGTTTGTTAATCACTCCATAATAACTGCTGTCAGAGAGCCTGTGCCCCCTGTGGAACCAAATACCGATAATTTGCAAACACCCAAACAACCAATTCCTACGAAAGCAGAAAAGCCATTCACAGCCGTGTGCAACCAAACTTGTGCACAGCCATGACCAGACCAGAATCCGCAATACATACACCTTTACAATTGGTTCATAAAAGCAGAAGAGCCATTCACAGTCGTTCACAAACAATGGCAACCAAACTTGTGCACAGACATAACAACATCGGAATACGAAATACATACCACAATGTTCTCATGGGTCAGCTCCTTCCCGAACGGGAACTTCTTGGTCTCCTCGACGGTGGAATAACCGAAGATCTGTACCACCGAATGCACGTTCACAAACAAGGACAACAAATGCTCCAAAAAATCAGCGAAAAAAAACGGTTACTCCAACTCAGCTGGTACACCCATGAAATGTTAAAATACAGACCTGAGTTTGCATTCGCAAGGACTGAGACAAGTGAAATCATTCTGAATTTACCCAGGTCAGGTCAGTTCAAAGATGATACCCCAAGGCTATCAGCCCCCTGCCCAACCGCACACCCCCCCCCCAAAAAAAAAAAAGAAAAAAAGAAAACAACAGCCATAAAGGTGACAAGAAACTAACCATTCCTTAACCATGCCTTCCTGATCTGCTGCGTGTTTTGCCGAACCCAACAAACAGTGACCAATTCAAGCCAAAACCGCAATTCCCTTGAGCTCGGCTCATGGCTCAGATCATGGTCAGACAGACACCATACTGCCAATACATCACAATTACCCCAGGGCCCCATTAATATCAGAGAGACACCATACTGCCATATACACCAGAATTACCCCGGGGCCCCGTCAACATTAGAGAGACACCACACTCCCAATATACCACAATTACCCCAGGGCCCAGATTATCTTTCACTCGCCACCAGGCAGGGAGAAAACGGATACCAAGCATGGGTCTAATGATCTAATCCCACAGCATCAAAAACACATGAACACCAAATAATATAATCCACCAAGCACACAGCTGAATCGGATCAACGCCCATGGAGTGCACAACTGCACATAAAACGGGGCACCACAACAGGCAAGCGAATCCGCACGGAGTGCCACAAGGGAATTATGTCTCAAAATATGTACAAAATACTTACAGCCACAGCATCTGACTGAACGCCGAAGAACTCGTACACCTGTGAAGAATCCTCGTGATCGGCCTTAACATGGACACAGATCACCTGCAGAACAAGCAAACAAAAATTGTGACAACCATTAGAAAAAGTTGAAAAACCAGACATACACCAGCCCACAGACCCAGTTTGCCTTCACCCCTGCATATCTGAAAACCACAGTCAAGGAAATCTATTTGGGGCCTTTGGGCACATGCATGCTTGCCTATCGTCCTCGCAAAAACATTTGCAGCCCATGTGCACTCAAGGTAGAGACCCAAAACAACTCTGGGGAGTGCGATTCCCACATTGCTACAGAGTAAACGGCAAGTCGATGGTTCTCCAAGCTGCTCAACTACCAATGCGGCCCATCTATGCAGACGCATCACAGCCATGATACTTTAAAAAATGGTAAAGAAACATTCCCGATTAACCATATAACAGAATAGGAGATTTTATTATCAGAGCGACAATCGGGGATCGAGCCAACCAATTACGTGACCAGATTCAGTCCATAAATATATTCTCTCGCCAAGCTCCTACCATAAACGTTTTTTTTCCTGAGTGGGAAGTACCTTCTAAGCCATCACCTCCGCCCCAGTAAATCACATCATGAACAACCAGAACATCTGATATTTCATTAACACACTGATGAAGATCTTCGATAGCCGCTAGGGCTTCAACGAGTGGTGGCCATGGCTCGAAGATAAAAAAAAAAAAAAAAGGAAGAAGAAGAAGGAACAATGCCTAATTCAACCGACTTGAACAGTCAGCACACCTGACCCACAAAAAAAAAAAAAAAAAAAAAAAACAATTACCTTCAAAGGCTTTCAAATAAGCAAATATATATATAAAAACGAGAGTGCAAGGATTGAGTCCCTCAGCACTGTTGAAAAAGGCCGTGCCCACCCTATGCAAAGGCGGGCCTGCAAATGTGTGCCCATGGCTGAATATAGGCCTCTGCGACCAGGCAAAAGGGCCCAAGCAGAGCCTGTTGGAATCTCTACGTCGGTTTACCTCTTCGATGGGGCCTTTTGTGAGTTTACTGGGGCTAGGCCTCACGCAAGGCAGTTACTTCGTGCCAGCCGATTACGGGGCACCCCACTTGCGATCCCAGCCAGAGAGCATTTTAGACTCTTCCAAGCAGCAACGTGGAAGGAGGCCTATCGGCCAATCAGATCGTGGCAAACAGCAGCAGCCACATTTGGCACTTAAGCCGTCAAACCGAACGAACGGGCCCCAGGGCACAATTGGTTACGGCCCTGGGTGTGTGCAGCAAAAAGCTTGGGAGGCCAATATGTCGCGCCGCAGCCGTGGTTGGATGAAAATGCAGCTTCGGTATCACACACTCCACGAGCCAATCAGATAGCGGCAAAAAACTTGGGAGCCTCGTGGCATACTTGGAATTGCCTAACTGTATTGGGCCCAGGCCAGTATCGGAACTGGCCCTGGGGCGCAGACACTTTGATCCGACTGGAAGCTACTGGAAACTCCCACGAGCCGGCACTGGCAGATAGAAGCCACCAGCACTTTCCATAAAGGTAAGTGCCTGCCTCCCCTTGTGGTGAGGCATTCAGGCTGTGTGCTTACTGGCGGCAGCGCTGCTGGTTTGAGCCCTGGAGGCCCGCGGTAGGCCAGGGGCTGGAGGGCACACAAGGGCGCTGGTGGTGGGCGCTGCATGGAAGCAGCGCCAGAGCCCAGCCAACCAGAGTCGGGCTGGGACTACGGGAAGCCAGTGGAGGTGGTGTTGGTCTTCGGATAAAGTGGAGACGTGGGAGAAGAAGACGGGGATCAGCAAGAAAGAGAGATGAGGAGATGATGTGAGGCCATGTACCTGGTCATGGTGGTCGGCTGCATGGTCAACATCTGCATGTACTTCGGTTGTTGACGCTCGTTGACTGGTTGCATCGTCAATTGTAGGCTAGTTGAGTAGCTGTGTGATTATAGTCTGGGCGCTGCTTGAAAGACATTGTTGCTGGTGGCCAGTGTATGCTTACATCGACAATTGAGATCACTGCTTTGGTTCTCCTCCGGTCTTATATCAGTGCATTTCTGCTTTCTGGACAGCTTTCGACTATCTGGCTTTCAGTGTTATTTTGCAATCCAAAATTCTGTCATTTTGCTATTGCTCATTTTCCGTTCAAGAGAAAATAAAAGCAGAAATACCCAAAAAAAATGAAAAAATACTAGAACATACACAAACATTAAACAAACAAAACACCAGGTCCTGCATGACATGTATCTTGCTGAGCTTCATTCCCACATCATTGTCAACCACAACACTGACCAGGCATGTTTTCACATTGTAGTAGATGCCCCCCCCACTTCCCCCCTAGATTAGGGTACACACTACCATCCTCACCCGAATAGAACGCCAGGCGATTATCGCTACATCTGGACTAAAAACTGTACCAAATACAGCTGTAAACGCTAGGTCATTATCGCTGCATCTATTCGCGTGAAGACAGTAGCCTTGAAATTACTGTTTCAGGGATGATTCATAACCCCTTTCCAACAGCCCGTGATAGTCAAGAATCCAACAACCTACTTTCGGCCATGCTCACTCTCGTATTCTTCATTTGCCACCACCACTACAACACAATATGCACAGATTTTCTCATGCTGGACTGCCGAGAACCATTATATAGTACCTGGCCTTGTCAGGCTTGGCGGGTCGGGTTTCAGAGGCATTTACTATTTATTGAATGCATGGCTATGTCATAAGACTATTATTCTATGTCTAAAATATCCCTCACATATTCGCACCTACGCACATGATGGAAGAGGTACCAATACCAGCGAAACCTAGCTCCGTTGGTACACCCATGGACTAATGAAACAGACCTATGTTGGAATCCAGACCGCACTAGATGACTGAAATAAAATATGTATGATCTTCCCTTGGGCCGATACGTCCGATGATGATATCAAGGCCGTCGCCCTTTTCAAAAAAAGCAAAAAAAAAGAGGTAGCAATGGTGGAAAGGTACTCACATCGCCCTTGAGCTCGCCGCACGCCTTCTTAAACAGAGGGAGAATCTCTGCCTCCTTGTCTGCTGGGAGGAACAACAGAGCCTGCACAGCACACCCGGAAACCAAAAGATGACTTCAGCACAGATTCAAAAGCATTAAACGCTCAGTAACCACACATCCGACAAGAGTAAACAGAGAGAAAAGGGGTGGAGGGGGGAGGAGGGGGTGAACGCCATTCCCTGGAGACCGAACTCCCACTCCAGCCCGTTGTCAAGAAAGGCCATAACGAGCAGCTCACCGAAAGCTGTGTAGTGGAATGTGGTCCCCTACTAAAACAGATTGTAATAGCGGTAAAATAATGAACGCCCTCAGACATGTCAACTTGCAGCAACTAAAGACAAGAGGGGAGTTGGTAGTGGGGAGTGCAGAGTTTTTAAACTCTAGCAAGACTCTATAACATGGGCCTTACCTGCTTCTTCACAGCACTGCCAAAGATCATTTCAACATTGCCGGTCGTGAACAATGTAACAATCGGCAGCTTGTTGGCAGCGACAAACTTGCTGAGCTCATCATAGACGAACTCGCCATCTGTTTATCCACCACAAAAAGAAATGAAGCTTGTTAATGAGAATCATCAATAGCGGATGCTCCGTAAAGGTGGAAAGAAGTTCAAAAAACTTCATTGATTCCGTCCATTCTGAACAAAGAGATTCAAGTTCCTCGATGAGAATGAAGAATCATCCACAGCAGTCTTCTCTTAAATCAGATACAAAAAAAAAACAAAAAAAAACAGAACATACTGATCGCACTGACAAGCAACAGCGGATTACTCGCGCCATGCTCAACAACAAAGAATGTAGTCACACAGTCCTTCTTGATGAAGACACAGGATATCTAAAAAAGAAAGGAGTGAAGACACAGCAAGAGTAGACTAAAGGAGTCCGCGATTGCACAATCTTTTTTTTGCTAAGTAATGAGAACAGAGTCAACAGACACTACAGTTGATCTCATTTAAAAGACAGAAAGGATCGCACAATTTTGAATATTCAAATGCTCATCTTTTCCTTTTGTCTTTTTATGTTTTCATTTTTTTATCTTTGATTATTTTACTTCTTTCCCTTTCTTTTCTCTTGGTTGTGGCCAAATAGTAAAAACTGAAGGCCTAAAAGAAGCAAAACACCAGGACGAGCAATTGGTTACATACTATTGGATGTCAAGAAGATACAAACCTACAGTTAGTTATCCTCAAACGAGACTTTTTGTTTACCGAATTTAGCTCTATTTCTGACTAGATTCACTTCAGAAAATTCCAACGCTGAGTAAGCATCTCGGCTCAAAGACCGGCTTCATAGACGATAGCTTCCTGTCTGACACTCGTTCATCCTACCCTAGCTTCCTGTCTGACACTCGTTCATCCTACCCTCCTTTCACAAAAGCAATACTTCAGAAAATAAGAAATATGCATCAGTTCTGACTTGCCAGTGGAATAGGAACTGGACTGATGCTTCCCAGAATGGACATGCATCAGTTCCTATTCCACTGGAAGAAATAGGCATCAGTTCCTACCCTCCTTTCACAAGAGTGTGAGGGAAGGGGGAGAAGAGACAGAGAGGAGGAGGAGGAGGAGAGTTTCCACGAGAATCTATAAAGCACGGCAACATCTGAGATTGGTGTGTGGGACGAGTCAGCCTTGCATTCCAACACCAGTGTGAAGCGAGCACAAGGCAGAATGCCCAACACAGCGGCCGAGTCCACATTTTGTAGTGTTGACTTGAGTTGACCAGCCCCCAGTCTCCATCGGTCGATGGTCCAGATCATTCGGAAGCCAATGGCCTGGATGCTGCGCAGTTGCAGATTTCCCATGTGTCCCACTTGGACTGGATTCTTCCGGATACCTGCAGATAACCAATGATGTGCATCTGATCTACAGCCGTGGCTGACCAGCGGGTTGACTTTGACTTCTGTTTCAGGCCTTTGACCAAAAGTGACATCCTAGAGTTCGCTGCTATGCAGACTTGCGCCGAGTTATTGCACTCCGAACAACCAATGTGACAACAGTAATAGTTCTGTGTTGTGGCTGTCGCACTACCAGCTTGTGTGACAACCCACTCCATCTGCTACTACTCTCAAGTAGGCTTGGCCAATATACCATAATAATTCTTTGCCCTGCCGTCTCCCTATATTCTGAGGCTGGGAGCATTACGGAACAGGCAGGCAGGACCTCCCGGAAGAATCCGGATCTGGCTGCAACATGCTGCGATCCCGACAGCCCCTAGCGGTACCTCAAACAGTCTGGCCCCGTCTTTACCAAAACTGGCCATGCCCTTTTCCCCTTCCGGCCTTCGCTAAGTGCCCTTCTTTCCTCGGCATAGCTGGGGGACCCTCACAGACACACAACCAAAACGAAAACCAGAAAGAAAAAGAAAAAGAGGAGGATAAAAGAAACGGAAAGTGCACATACCGAGAGCATTAAACTTCTCATCCTCGGCCTTAACGACCGCGAAAGCAGGTGCCTTAGCCGTGATGCCGGCAGCAGCTGCTGCCTCAGCACATGTGGTCTGAGCAAAGGACAAAGCGTCTTCTTTCTTTGCCACCTGCTGGAAATGCTCCCATTCCTTGCCCTGAGCATCCATCCAGTCACAAAACAAAAGGCATCAGAAAATCTGCAAACGGAACTCTCTAGGACCATAACGCACTGACAGCAGCACATGCCAAAAAATACCATTCCTTTTTATTATCCCCAAAAAATACAGCGGTCTTCGCCTCATATATGGGGGTCAGTTGTACTTTTACTAGAGGCTATTTTCTTCTCTTGAATCAGCCTCACACTGAGTATGTCATACGCAGAACAGACACCGCATCGCAGGACATCATCATATGCACAATGGACACAGCACGGTAAGGGTTACGTGTTTAAATCCCCTCAGGCTCGCAGGTATCAACCCTGAGGGAATAGGCAAAAATACCAACCAATCTCGTTTCTCCAATATCGACTTTCCCCATAGCACTTCATTGAGAGACTGAGTCTGATAGCGAACGAGAACAAAAGCAGCTTCTCGGGATTATTCCATTCCACAGGAAAAGCAACCTCATCAAGTGGCCCCCCCATTGTGTAATAAAAATAACTACGAAGCAAGCAATCGTGAATAGAAGCCACCAGCCGTCAGCAGTGCCAATGACAAGTCTGCAGATATACTCGAAGAGGAAAGTTGTTCACCAGTTCAGACAAACTTGGGGGGGCATACTCTCACACTACAACTTCCCCATTCGCATCTGACTGCAATCACGTCCATCGTTTTGTTTAAAAGAGCATCGAACAAGCAAATGACAAACACATGGATGCAATCACGTCCAGAGATTTGTCTAAAAGAGCATTGAACAAGCACATGACAAACAGGTGGACCATTGCGTTCTGCAAATTGGTCGTGTAATCAGTCACCACAATTTCACACAAACAGCAAAGCAAGACATCAGGTCTATTTATAGTTTACCAGAGAGAACAGTTACAGCTAACACTCATCTGACACCAAGCAAAAAAGGGGGCAGGTATTAGCCAGCTTTACCTCAAACTTCTTGAAGAAGCCAACGCCTGCTGCACGGTTCGCAGCCAAGAAGTCGGTCATCTCCTTCGCTGTGGAAATGGTATTAGCCGGGGGACCAGTCTTCTTCTTAACCCACTGCACAATCTCATCCCTACAGCAACAAACAACAACCCAAAAGAGAAAGAAAAGAAAAGCAAATCGAGTCGTTACACAACAGGATGTTCCCTTTGGCCCCGCCAGCCTGCTGCTCCTTTCCAAAACGCACTAACAGGGTTGTCGAGCCCCGGCCCCGGGGGCCCGGCGGGGGTCCGGGGGTCCGGGTGTGGGCACCCCAACCCCGGCTCCAGACCCCCCCGCCCAAAAAAAATCAAAAAAAAAATCAAAAATAAAATAAAATAGTGGGGGGTGCGTAGCGAAAGCGCGCACCCCGTGGGCTAAACCCAAAAAATGGGGTTTTGTGCCCCACCCCGGACCTCCGCCGGGGCCACACCCACCCCTGGGGGGACCGGGGTAGCTGCAGGTGCGAGGCCGGGGGGGGGGC